GATGATGATGATGATGATGATGATGATGATGATGATGAGCTCTCGTGATGATGTTAGTAATGATGAGAGAATTAAGCCGACTTATGCTTTGTCTTCTTGGCCACTGCCAAAAACACGGAGCTTCGCGGTGGGCATGGACAATAATGAGCATCTGGACCTGGTAGACCTTGAATTCCAACCTGAAATGTCAAGATATGAGTTCTTTTCTTTACTTCAAAAACTTTGATGAAAGAATTGTATTTTAAGAAAATATAGCAAGTTAGTTGAATTAAATTCTATGAAATTTTGAGTTTACTGATTATTTCAAGAAACAAAAAATAAATGAAGTATCAATTTGGGAAAGTTCCTCAGCTTTGACGAAAGTAGCAACTCACCGGTCCAGGTCTACCATCTCCACCGCTTCTGCCATCGTTACCATCTCTGCCAGCTGGTCCTTGTTCACCTGGTTCTCCATCAGCACCTTTTTGTCCATTTTCGCCCGGAGCTCCTGGTGGTCCACGTGGTCCAGTTGGTCCTTTTGGTCCCGGTGGTCCAGTTCCACGTTTACCATCTCTACCTGGAGGACCTGGCCGTCCAGGCGTCCCATCAGGTCCTGGTTCACCAGGTTCACCTTGTGGTCCTTGCTGTCCTGGCATGCCTCGTCCTCCTGGTCTTCCATCCATACCCATCTTTCCAGGTGGTCCAATTTCTCCCATTTCTCCTTGTGGTCCTTCTTGTCCAATTGGTCCCGGTGGGCAATTGATGCATTCACGCGGTTCAGGTGTTGTCACTGGTACGAGGGCCGGTGGACCTGGCGGTCCGTCTCCACCCGGATATCCATCCGTTCCTTTTTCTCCTGTCTCTCCTCGTGGTCCAGGTGGACCCATTGGGCATCCTTCTGCGGAAGGTCCACAATCTGCAATAACCGTACCCTTAGTCGCATCCGAATTATTTCTGAAGTCAATTCTTTTTTTCAATTTTTTCAAGCCATAAAGTTGTAAATGTTGCATGAAAAACTATATTGGAACTTACTACATCGTTCAGGAAACTGAAATTGTCGTTTGAACCTTGCAAAAAGGCTTGAGAAGGTTGGGGTTTCATCAGAATTGCCGGACGGATGCATGTGCAACAGCAATATCCTTTGCCATGTGTCGTCTGCTACAGTCTGCAACGGAAATTCTGATGACGCCGAAATTGAATCGATTGCAAAATTATGAATGAATAGAAATGAGTCACCTAACAGGAAATAATGGTATAAAATATGAGAGTAAAATGAATTTATTAATTTTTAAGCTATTTCAAATTAAAATTTCGTTGAACTGTTAAAAAAATTGAATTGTCTTGAAGTTCACATTGGCAAAATATTGATTTCTAAATTTGGAAGTTGCTCCCTCATTCATAATTTCTTGGTAAATTCATGAATTTTCGAGTATTTGTTAAGAATTCGCAGCAGAAGAAAAAGAAGGAAAAAGGTGAAATAAAAGAATGATAATTGATATTACATTTTATTTCGATAATAGATTTTTACTTTAGAAATTGTGTTGTTCTAAAAATTTAAAAACCGAGCGCAAATTTTAATTTGGAATATACAAAGTAATATTTTAGGAAACACTTTTTAGCCAATTCATTTGCTGATCCAAATCTGAAATTGCTAATTGAGTATTTCAAATAATTTTATGTATTTCAGTTGTTTTTTTCTGACGTTTCAGTTTGTTTTTTTTTTTTGATTTGATTCAATCTGTCAGTTATGGGATAGAACGTTAAATGAATATTTGAAGACTCGAAAAAATGATAGAGGAGATCAATCAGTACGGATAATTTCACTAATCTGATCATGCGGTACCAACCTTAAATTCTCCCATTTCATCCATAACATCATCGTATAAGGTATTAATGTCATTATAAATGATGCAAACAGCAACCAAAGACGTAATTATCACGAAGACGCTGCATGCTGTGGCAAGGCCCACGAATACCTTCACGCTCATCTTGCTGCCTGAAAATATTCAATTCACGTGTATTCATTTGTATTCAATTGTAATCACTATAGAAAAAAATTTCGAATCGAAATTTTCAATTTCATACCAAATTAAATTGAATTTGAATATCAACAAATGACCTTTAACATCTGATAGGGAATAATTTAAATTTTCTAATGATTAGAATGTTTTTTGGCAGTTAAAATTTTTTCTCCTAATTAGAATTTATCTCATTTCCATGCAATCATTTCGAAAAAGCTCTAAGACATCGCCGTTCACCTCAAGCAGTATATACTTTTAGATTTTTTCTCTTCATTTCCAATTAATGTTAAATTTTCCGAAATGATATTCCTATTAGATTTGAGCTTCCTTAAATTAAGATAAATTTAATATTCAATTTTTTAATATGATATGTCACGAGATGTATTACATAATGTTTTCTTAAACTTTTCGATTGATATAAAAAAATATTTGGAATTATGAAAGGAAGAAATCATTGTAACACCAATAAAGGGTAATGAGAAATCCAATCCCGACGATAGTGTGATTGTCACCCAACTTGATCATTTATGGTATTGCTCGGGAGGGAAATGAAACGCTTATATTTTCGGTATAATGTCGTTCATGACCGCCTCCTGCAACATCAATACCAATCTCCTCTCCTTCCACTTTTTTAGTGACATTGCTGTGTTGACGTTGTTTAATGCGTAAAGCGAACTGATAAAACGATGTCCCAAAATTTTGAAAGCGAGTTTAATGGAAGAAATTATTCGCACGCTAACAAGTATTCAATTTTCAAAAAAAAAAAAAAACTTTTCTCGTTTCTTTTTTGTATGTTAACTCTCACAACAACGATGATAGGCCAACATCTTACTTTCACCTTTTACAGTCTGTTTTTTTTTTCATTTCTACACTTTTTCAAAATTTAACTGATAGTAACAGCGTAACTGGAAATGATAGACAGAATTATTCCTTGCAAAACGATGAAACAGTAAGTAATATCGCTGAATTAGAAGAGAGAGGGGAAGAGAGAGAGAAAGAGAGTAACTATGAGACAGTAACATTTTCTTATTACGTTCATTCTTTCTTTAACTTTCTTTTGTACTTTAAACCAGTTATTTTGCTATTTTTCGTTTTTCAACTTTAAAAGGACAAAACAAGAAAAATTATGAACAAATAGCTGAGACATTTTTCAGGGAGGCATGTGCACAAAGACATTCTTTTGTTTCTGTGATTGAAACCAATGCTGCCAATGATACAAATATATTGAATTTCTCTATTAATAAGACGAAACTTCCTCTTCTCAACAAACTCGGTTTAGGCAAAAAAGTGGATTGAAGTAATTTATAGTACGACGAAAGAATATTAGTTAATTATTGAAGTCATGTTAACTTTAAAAGATTAATTATTAAACAGTATCAAATTCAATCTTAAAAAAATTAGCATTCGACGATTTTATCAAATATGTTAATTAGTAGTCATCGTCAAACAAACGGAATTGAAATTGAGATAAATGCTTAATATATCACCAATAAGCCTAATAATGTATAAAGTCAAAAACTATTCGAAAAAAAGAGGAAAACAAGAAAATGTGATCTTCAAGAACTTCATCGATATTTAACTGAAAATATTGAATGATTTTTTCCCCCAACTTCATTCCATTCCACTAATACTTGAAGGATCAAATCTTACTATCGATTAATCGTTTATCTCCGTGTTTTAAAAAAAAAAAATTAATATTTTAAAAGAAAATGCTTATTGACCAATTTTACATAATTGCTTTATTTTTCATCATAATTGATGCAAATTAAGCTGTTGTCTCTTTCATTTCCATTTATCAAAATTTTCCATAATTTTTTTTGTAAAAATTGATCACTTTTTTTGTGCAAATGTATGTAACAATCACTAACCTTCAATTTATTTAATTTCATTTGCAAATCAATGATTGGATTAATTAAATTTGTTATTTTAAAAAGATGAACTTTTTTTGGAATTTATTTTGCAACCAACAAAATGCGTTAATATTAGGAATGGCGAGAAGAGCACAAATAGCAGAAACTATTTTTGTTATTGTACGATAAATAAAAGTTGGAAGGATTGCTGAAGCAAAAAGTATCGCAAATGGAAAAGTACAGGGAAGTGGAACGGTGAATATTTCTCATTTCCAAATATTCATTTGGCTGTAAAAAAAGAACGAAAAAGAAAAGAATGCGACAGAAATGAATTATTTTTCCCCGACAACGAATAGTTTCTAATTAATTCCCATGGGCAATTTATGCAAAAGTACCCGAAATTTCTTGTAGATAAATGATATATGAAAGTTATGAATTTTTATTGATTTTAGATTAATTCAGAAATTTTCAAACAAAAAAAATGATTGAATGATTTTGCTGAAGCAATATGAATAGCTTTTTTGAATTATGTCAAAATTACAAAATTAGCCAAAAGAATTTTATCAAGCACAATCACTCAATTATCAAATATTTATCGCAAACTGTATTAAATGTGATAAATTTCTATGTACAACAAATCAAAATTTTAACAGTTATTATCAAACGGCAGTATTGTAACGTCGAATGAATGGTTGAGCAGTAATTAATTCATCAGTTATTTTACTCGATTTCGAATCAGATGATTTCGATCCCTCCTGCAAAGTAATTTTATTGACTTATCAAAAAGCTTTAAACAAATGGGAAAATGTATTTTTTTGTATAAAAGAATTCCATTAAAGAAATCAGACGAAATATTTCAATGAACTAAATGCTCCCTAATTTATTATGTCGGCAAAGATAAGTCAATGATCGATTTTTACGATAAGGAATGAAAGTTAGCATCGTTTATAAAAGATGTAAAGGAAGATCACTAATTGATATAAATTTTTTAGAAATATATGGAAAGTAATTGAACGAGAATTAACTAACATCTTGCTTTTTAAAAACTTCAAATACTGGTGTTCCTTTTCTGAAAAATTCTTCATCCTCAAATATTTTTTTTGGTTGTGTAAAGAAAGCACCCCGAAGATTTTCCTGAGAAATAATAATTTTATTAAATGAAATGTGAAAAAGAAATTTGCTTTCTCAATGAATGATAAAAGTAATGAAATTAATCTGAATAATGACAAAAATTCTTTTATAGCAGAACTAACCGTCAGACTTCCTAATAATGAAGTAACATTGCCTTTGCGAGCTTCAATTCGAGATCGATAGAGAAATTCACCGAGCGCTGCTAATATCGATACAATCATTCCACCCATTAGAATATAAAATATTCCCGCTACTTTGCTCAAATTTAAACTTGCATTATGGCCATCCTAAAAATTCATAAAAAGTGTTTTTTCTTTGCATAATAATCCAGAAAATGGTATAATTTGAAAATGTTTCAGCAACAAATCGATAATTCTTTTCTATTGAAGGGACAAAGTGGCAAACGAAATGACCGCGATGCCTTGGTCACATTCACCCCGATCATACCACCACTTGTTTTCAAGCTTTTTCAGTTCGCCACGTTCTTGCAATGCAAGAATTGCCAAGTTAATATGATCCCTGAAAATTTTCGAGAAATATCACGAATTCCTGAAGAATTTTACTGTAGCTATAGTTGCTTAAAGAATTAAAATCTTTAAATAGTTTAATAAATTTTAAATTGGATGAACAGAATGAAAAGCTAAATGTCATCGAATCATTGATAGCTTAGCTATCAATTAAGCTTACAGAGTGAAGATAACAGTTCAGCATTTGTTAGCCTAGCTAACATGAACAGCAGACATAAGGGAATATTTTGATAAGAAAGCATTTCTTATGATTTAATAACATACTTATAAGGAGAACCAAATGGTGTTGCAACTCCGTAACCAACTGAATTCAAATTTGATCCTGAAAAATGTTGTAAAATTCGAAGAAGATTAAATGGAACCACAAATGGGTTAGCTACGACTGAAATGTATGATAGGACAAATTTACAGTTTAATTGATCCTGATAATAATTTAACTCACCAACTTTCATCGTATCACAAGGTTTCCTAGTATTTGCATATTCATTTGCGGTAGCTTCCAACAAAAAAGCGTATCGTCCTTTATGACTTCGTACTCTTTCAATACCTTCTGCATAGCTGGATGTAAATACCGTTGGCACCTAAGAAAATCTCTTTCTGTACCATTTTCATATTAAACAATGAAAATAAAAGGAAAACTTATTTTGAAATGTTAATGATAAATGAAGAGATTAAAGTCTATTTTAATTCATATGAATACTTTTTCTGTTTGATCAGTTAGAAGCAGCTAAATAGTCTGAACGGTTGTTGTAAATGATTTCTAGCCTGAGAGATTTAAGTTACCTGTGATTCCATATAGCGCCACATTCGTTGATAAATTTGCACTGAACTATGCTGAAATATAGAAATTTTTATAAGAATAGGAATGGATAGATTTTTTCAATATATTCGTATTATTTAAATTTAGAATTACCTTGAAAAATTGCGCTGTTGAACCACCTTGTTGTATTCCATATTTAATTTTAGTTTGCTTAGCTAAATCTTCTACTGATTCGATTGGTGCTTGCATTTTTTCCAATGTTAAAAATGCTGCTAAATTAGCGGTGTAGGATGAAACGATAATCATCGTAAAAAACCACCAAACGCTGCTTGCAAGACGACCGCTTATTGATCTAATATAAATATAAGCTTCACAATTACGTAAATTATAAATATCTCTATTTATTTGTCATATGCATATTATCATTATCACGTAATATTAGTTCAATAAGATTTAAAACATTAATTTGTTTAATCATTGAAATTGGTTGTTAATTTTCAACCTTGGTACAATATCGGTACCTTGCTGCATGAATGCAGCAAGTGTATACCATAGACAATTATAGACCGAAAAATCATTGGAAATTGTAAAGCCGCCGCCACCGGATATTTCTTCGATACGCCATTCATAAGGTGAAAATCGTGAGACCAAAAATATCACAACAGAAACCTAAAATTAATTATTGCAATATGTGATATATATTATTGCTATTTTCTGAAGAGTATAGGTGAGAATTGGAATTATTTCAACTTAGAGAAAACATTTAAATTAATAAACAAACCCCCACGTAAGCAAAAATAATATACATCCAAATTTCGGTACTTAACGGTTGCATGAATGAGAAAACGGAAAACTCCTGTTTGTCCGGTTTCTTAATCATTATACTAATCCCCGTTGTCATGAAAGGTTTCGAAAAATCAACAACCCGTTCGCGATCCTGAAAATATCGAAAAAATATTCCGATACTTAAATCTCTTTTTATATTCTAGAATTATCAAAACCATCACCTATGGAGTAATAATAGAATGTATTGATTTCGAATATTTTATAGACTCATGAATTTTAAAAATAATTATTTATATTATTTTGTACCTGATTTATTGTAAGTGATGCTACGCAAACATCCGCTTCACCACTGAGCAATGAGCCAATTAAACCATCCCAAGAACCATCAGGCTGTTTAATGCCGTATTTATTACCTTTGGCCAAGATTATTTCATATTTTTTAAAATCTTCGATTCTGAACGAAAGTTTTTTATGATTTAGATGTAAAATAAAACAGTTTGCGATAACGTCCTTAAAAAATATTTGTCTTTACGGAAAAAAATTTCAATGAATTTTGCAAAGAGAATTAATCAATAAAGAAGCACAAACTTATCACTAAGAAGTTTAAGTAAATCAATGCAAAATCCTTCATAACGATCATTGCCATCACAACTACTTCTATTCGTATTTCCTTCACAGCCACGTTTTATCATTACAAAAGGCGCCGTCTGAAATGATATAAATATTACATAAATCTGTTCAATTTCGTCCATTTTACTGTTTAATGAATAGTATATGACAGTTATTCGGGAATTAAATTAAAAATGGATAAGGAAATTTAGGCTTTAATCATTGCGCGAATATTATACATTAAGAGCGAATATGTTAAAACCCTAATAATTCTCACATATTGTTCACTAAACTACAATTCATTAAATAATGAAACCACGACGAAAGTATGAATCGATAGAATCAATTGGAAATAAGCAAGAAAAAAAAGAAAAGAAAAGCTGAATGGTTTGAATTATAGTTGCTAATGATTTCAAAATAATAGGGAAATAATTCAAGCTTAATTGTTGGAATGAACAAACTGACTACAACTGTGACCACTTTGAGAATTTTCTTCTCTCCTAATGTATCCAAATTTTTTCGAGTATGCTCGGCAATTGTTTGATTTGCAAAAAATCCAAGGCCTTGTTTCCAAATCATCATCTTAACAAAACTTAGTTGAAATCATTGTATGTTACAAGTTTTATAAAAGAGATAATTTGAACACATATAACGATCACAAATTAATAAATACAAATAATAAAAATTAATCTTAAACAGTAACTTACTTCTTTCCGATTAAAAGCTGATTTAATACTGGACACTAAATCAATCACTGTAACATCGTAATTTTTACGCATTCCAAAACGATCGAATTCAATCCGTCCGGACAACGTACCATCATTTGAATTTAATTTTAACTGCAATTTTTACGTCTTTTAATAGAATGCCAAACTTCTTTGTTGTCTTCTAAAATTATCAAAATTGTTAAATATTTAGTCAATTATTTTAAATGAAACTATTGAATGTATATTTACTCCACGCAACGCTCTTGCCAATATTTGTCCATGCTCGAAAGTTGTAAATGGACGATGTGGATTGTCGAGATCCATACTCGGATGGCAGTACATTCCGGGATAACCACGATTGTACAATTGACCATGTCGAAAGTTATGTCGGAATAACGAATCATTACGTCGTAGAACTGTTGCGAAAAGAGCTCGCAGTACAAGCATTGCATCATGTACAAATACAGGTTTAATCTATAAATAATAGTTTTATCATTTAACTGAAAGCTGAAAATTCGAAATTGATTACCTCATTGTCTATATCAACCTTTTCTGTCTTAAATATAGCATTTTTCAGATTGCTATACTCTTTAACTTCACGATTTATTATTTGAAAGCCAGAAATATTGATATTTCCATCTTGAAACATTTCCACGTCATAATTTGAAAAATCCTGCAATGAATTTAATTGCAAAATTTCCTTGTTATAATACATATTTCAAATAGGTCCATTTCGATTTCAGATAACATGAAGTGAAGGAATATAAAGAAATGAATGAAAATGAATAGAAATAAATTCATACATAATTCCCAACAATATAATGATATTCCAGTTGGCTAAATTGAGCAGATCGTATAACAGCCAGAAATTTCCTTTGTCGATGCGAGGAATCAGCATCGATTACTATATACCTAAACAAAGGTAACACAATAATTACTGTATGGAAGTATAGCAGTATAATTGAAAACGGGGTAAAAGTTCCTATAGTATACGATAAATTTGTACAGCAAATAAGATGTGAAGATGTTATTTGCTCGGCAATGAATATAACAATGAAGAAGCAGTTGCTTATGGCAGCATAAATAACAGCTTGCATCTATTGAGCATTAATAGAAAAAGTTGTGTGAGAAAAGAAAGGAGAAGTTTACTAATTAAGCTAATTGTTCAGAGTTCATATTTAAAATTTATTGCATTTCCAATTATGAGAAATATGACCATTTAAATATAAAACTTTCTCAAATAATATAATGAACTGAAATTTATTCAAATGATGAAATTTCAAATTTCCATGTCTTACACGGAAAAGATTAAAAATTTAATTTCAAAAGACTACTTTGTTGAGTTGTTCATTAGCCAATTGATATTTAATTTTCGGAAGAATTCCAAAAAATCATCTTCATTTTGTGGCATTCGAATCATTTCTGCTGATATAGAAACGTTACTTTTGCGATGCAAATAATAATAAATCCATTGGAAATTGATTACTGCTAAAAATAAAAATCTTTAATCAATTTTGAGTAAAGTAGGCTTATCTAAATGTATTATAGCAAAAAATAAGCTTGTTGCACGTTTTGATCTCAGCAATTAAATCGGTTATGACTTTTTTAAAAGAATTCTTAGTAGTGGAAATAATGTAAGCAGTCTCGAGTTGAAATGTAAATCATTTGTGATATTAAGCATAATCATTAACAATATTAAAGTGTACAATTTTTGCTATCATGAAGAAATATAAATGCCGGCCATTGTTTGTACAATATTAAATCAGCTATCAATTCTGCTATTGGCGGACGAATACTCACTTGGAAACTGTAAATTTAAATTCATTTTAATACTCACTGTGTCGATAATACTTTCATTGAATCATTTTGAAATAAAACAAAAAAAATTTCTGCAATTAATATTGTTGAAATTTCCAACTATGAAAAATATTACTGCTTTCAATTGAAATTTTTTAAAGAAAGAAAACTTCTTTAAGCATTGAAAGAAAAAAATTTAGTCTATTAAAATTTTATACATAACGGAGCATCGATAAGAAAAATGATCACATTATATTTCAATCTATGTTAATAAATTTGATGAATTTTGATTCTTTTTTAATTTAATCATCTACTGAAATTTCTAACAATCAGCAACTGCAATATAAACTGATCTTAAAATTTTATCATCTAATTTCTTTAGCATCATTCTAAAATCAAGTAAGCTGTAAGAACACTGTCATCTGCTTGTTGATTATATCTGAGCAATAACTATCATCAAACATTCCAAAAGGTTACCAACTTATTTACCAGAAGCTGAGAAGTTATTTCCGTCTATTGAATAGCATTTAAATTTAAAGTAAAATTTGTTTATTTCCAGTCTTCACTAACTATAACTATTACTGAATCAAAAAAAGGATTGAGCAAATGCAAATATAAAATGTCCCATATAATTGATTAAATAATTTACACTTTATGAATATAATTATGAAGCATTAAAAGTCTCGATGATAAATCTCTTTATAACTAACAAATTACGAGCTTCCTCAGCTGGAAGTATCGGTGACAGATCCCAGTTCACTAATGGTACTTCCATATTCTCAGTCATTGCCAAGAATGCCTCATACGGCTTACCCATATTACCAGACATCATTGCCATTGCACCCACTTTTAAATCATTGCATACTGAAAATAAAATCATTGTGACAACAATCATGGCTTATGCTTATCAAATGATAAAATGAAAGGTAACGCCTAACAGTTGAAAATCTCAAAATTCTTACCTATGTACACACTTGTACAATTCTAAATTTGTTCAAAAAAAATGGAATTTCTGTAAGCTTTAACTTTGATTCCAGGTAAAATTTTAATGATGATTATAATTACCGATATTCATCAGATTCCATGTATCGATTTCTTCGGCATGCAATTGACGATTGGAAAATGAAAATTTGAAGGGATTGTTTTTGTTATTATTATGTATCATTTCACCCTCTTGTATTGTTTGCGTAATACCTTTGTCATCTTCATCGGGTTGAATGTAAGTTTCTGAAGTAAAATTTAAGTTGATCTGATCTATTCACTAATAATTAAAATCTTTGCAAAGGTCATCACCACAATCTCTTTTTTAACTTGTATAATACCCACAGAACTGCTATTGAAAGTTGCACCATTTAAGATGCTTTCTTCAATTCTTCGATAAGCACTATCTCAGTAGTAGCCATTAATTAACGGCCACGTATTTTTCGGCAAAATTCACATAAGACTTCAATTTCTTGAATAATCCAAAAAGACTTACTAATTGGTATTTTAGATGGATATCCAAAGAGAAGTAAAATATATGAAAGAAGAATTTGGGATAATAATAGCGAGGTAATTTTCATCTTATTTTTAGTGACATCCTGGAATATTAATTATTTAATTAAAAAAAATAATTTATTTCAAGTCAAACTTGAAATAAAAGAAATTCACAAGCATATTGAATGTGTATATGTATGTAAATAGTATAAAATTTATATATGAAAAAAGTTGAAATTTGTTAGGAACTTGTTGGAGTGGACAAGCAAGAATAATGAAGTGAAAGAAACCGAAAAGATCACTGAGATCTTTGGACTTTTTTTTATTCTTATGCTAGAATTTTGAAGATATGCTATGAATAGCTATGACGATTAATGATTTGGATCATAAACTTCGCTTGATAATCCAATATCTTCCAGAAAGATATCTCCATACCACGAGAAATGCTTACTCTTCAAATCCATTGGAATTATCGAAACTATTCATCGAACTATTTCGAGGTTTTTTTTTGAAGAAAGTTATAATAAAAATTTAAGTAGTTAAATTATTATAAAATATCAAATAAGATAAATATTTTTTCAGCGAAGCATTACAAGTCAAGTTTTAAGCTTTGTTTTTTCGCAGTAAATTTTAGTTCTCTTTTCATTGTTCAGAAATTTTAAACAATAAAATAAAATTTTGCAATAATTTCAGCATCTTTCAAGTATTGATTTTCATTTTTTTTCTCAACGACTATTTTAAATTCATTGAAAATCAATCAAAATTCATTGGATTGTTTTTGAAATTAAAGAAAAAAAGTAATTTATATTTGAAAATGAAAGAATCCATGAAAGAAATATGGCCTTAATTTCTGATCAATTTGGTGAAGGTTCCTGATAGCTCAATATGTCTTGGCTTGTTTTGACAGTCAGTTCCATCATGTATCATAAATTTGAGAAGTAGAGAATGGCACAAATGGTGCTCGCTTGGGCCAAGAATTGCGTTAGCCAAGCAATTGAAGAAGGAATCAATTAAGTAAACAGCAGTAATTTATGAAGCTTGTAAAGAAAGAATTGATGATGAAAAGTGCTATGGACCGTTTAAATAATTTGAAAATGATTAAAATAAAGGAGCTCTTCTATTTTCTCTTTTTTTGGCTAAAAGATGAATGTATGAACATAATAGTGAGCAGGGAAAATTGAAGCAGCCAAGACTAGAAGGGTAGATTAGATAATAAAGTCATAAAATGACAAATGTATAATTTGTTTCAGAAATTCGAATTGAAATTGAGATAAAAATAGTTAAAATTGAGTAAGCACTAATTTTAATGATTTTGAAGTTCTTCCAGATTAGTTTAAAAACAACAAAAAAGGAAACAAACTTGTTCATTTACATACCAAAAAATGATTGACTCTTCGGCTGACTTTAAACCAAAGTTTCAAAAGCTTTAGGCTTCATCTCTTTTTTATTTTTCTTTTTCAATTTTCAGATCAAATTCATCTTATGATTAGTGAGGAAATTTTCCTTCTTTCAGAAAAGTTAATATCATAAGTATTTTTTTTTACGATGAGATAATCCGTTCGTCACAATTTTTGAAGAATTTTAAGTTACTTGATGTGGCTCTCTAATATTGCACATATTCTTGATGATTCGACCTCGAATCAAGTTTCAAGAGTTTTGGACTAATAAAGACTTGATCCTAAAGTCTAACATCGAGATCATGAAGTATTCCTGCTTAACTATTTAATTTATTTACTTCAAATTTTTCATGCAAAGCAATCATGAAAAAATGATAATTTTTGTGATCGAAATTTTTGATTCTCTTCATTGGTCATTATGATTAGAAGTCAATCCTTTAACAGCTAATCATTTTTATCAGAACAGTTCGTTATCAACTTTTACTAAGTGAGGGGAAGAATTATTATAAAAGAGGATGAACATCAGCTAACCGAACAGATCTACTGATAAGATGTAGACAGTTTTCAGAGTTTTCAGATTATTTTTGAAGAACTATTTATAAAGAAAACTTCTTGAATTATAGGACTCTTTTTGAATTATTTATTGGAAATTTTTCGGGCAAAAAAACACAGTCATCTCACTTTCAATGATTTCCGGTTCTAAAAGTTGTTGAAGAGGAAAAAACAAGCAGGAAGAGCATTTAAAAAAAGCATATTAAACCTTCGATTCTCATGTTAACTAAAATTTATATCAGGACAATTACAAATTAGACCTTTGATCATAGGAGAATTGTTTACCAATTGTATTTCAATAACTCATTTTCCATTACATGAAATTGTTTATCAAAAAGATAAAGCAAACTTTCTTCGGTAAAATTAACCTAAAAAAAGTGGAAAATAGTTTGTTTAATATTGGGAATTGAATCGATGCGGAGATTTGATTTAAATTAAATTGCTAACTATAACTGAAATTTAAAACTTTTTCCATTACCAACATTTCCGCAAAACGTTGAATTGGTAGATTTTTTTTACTCATTGCATTTTAACGATGTTTCTGAGGCATTGCAAAGAATGCCAAAGAATGTTTGAAGATGGAAAATTGAAGTGCTGCGGCATCGACGGATTGTGTTTTCCTTTTTTTTAAAAGATTCAATGGGAGAGAAGCATTTTCAATGAATGGAGAGCCTTTCTTATCTTGACAATTTCCTTATTTTACAAATAGAATTCATCGATGAAGCAAGAAGACAAGACCGTCCTTAGAAAAAAATTTCATAACGCGGGACAAAGGGTAGAAGTTAGGCATGTGTCGCACTTTCTCGTGAAAATTTAGCGATACACCTACATTGTCCTTACTTTTGTTGCATGTATGGGTAGCATGAACTCAACATTCCTCCTTACTACGTTAGCTTAATGTAGCGCAAATGTCATGCAGTTGAGAATGACTGTAAATTTGAAGCAACAAACTTTTGCAATAACTAACATATTTTTATTTCTTAAACTTTTTTTTGATTAACGATGAAATTAATTTCTTACATGAAATGTAAGCTATTTTTATTGAGAATTGAAATGGCACTTTGTAAATTGACGGCAAGAAATGGAAATAAATATTGAATTCTTTCAATGTAAATGAATAATTTTTTCATTTAAATTTAAAAAATTTTAATTGAATAGTAAGTTTTGATAAAATTATGAATTTTTCCAAATGGGAACTTTCAAGTTTAAGAAATTAGTGAATTTCAAACAAAATGACAATATTAATGCACAGAAATGAATAAAAAAACAAAAGTTGATTTGTTTATGCTAATTTATTGATGAAAAAATCAATTTACGATCGAATATTTTCAATTATAAATTTCTCGAAGCGAATAAACAAAAATAAAAATATTTTTGATTTTATAAATTGATTTTAATAGGATGTGAGCTAAAATATTTTATTTTAACGTCTTGTGAAATAAAAAATTGCCACTATTATCTGAGCATGAAAAATTCATTTCAGTTTTTTCAAACACATTACAATTGGTTTAATGAGAACCATTCCTTCCTCTCTCCCTTTTTCCGAACAAAAAGGAAGCTGTTCGAAAATTCTATAAAAATTGAAAAAATCCCACCTTCCAAGCAAGTTAAGAAACAATTTTAGTGTAATTTCAGGATTTTAGGAATTACTTCCCACTTGTCATTAGTTGATTAGAATTGGTTTGTATAGCGCAATTTAACTGTGAACTTTTTCACATTTTGAAACGATAGAATAATTCGAATGATTAAAGTAATCGGTTCAATACAAGAAGTATTACTGAGCAAGAACTTGTTGAAATTGATGGATTGAGAAAAAAGTGCTGCTAAGAATTGACTGTATGTGGTGTGTTGTGAGGAGTAGAAAGCATATAATTTTGAGAGCATAAACGAAAAATTGAGAGTGATTGACAATTTAGAGTAATATTCAAATAAATAACTAAGCTTAAGGAGTCAACTTGATGATTGTATATGAATGGAAGATAATTAATTAATTTACATTAAAAATGTTTAATGATGAGAAATGAAATATTTGGAAAAAAAGTTCTTCAGGTAATGAAATCAAAAACATTTTTAAGCTTAAAAAATTAAATCAATAAGCTTATATGTAAATTCTTCAAATGAAAGGAAATTTGCAATTCATATTGACTTTTCATTTTGTATTTTTATGCGTCTTAGTTTCTGTAATCACTTTTTTTAATAAGATACTTGCTCGGTACTTGAGTTAAACCACCCACTCTAATTCTTTGAAATGAGTCAACGATGTACTGAAACATAAATCAAGTCATGTCACTCTTCCTCATTAAAGAATGCATGAGATGACATTTTGTTTCAAAATTTCTCATCTGATAATAATTATCTCATTCTTTTTTTTCAATGAACATGCCACAAAGAGAGGAACGATGGCAGTTTCGAAATTTTTTAGATATAGAAGGTAATGTTGTAAGGAACACATCAGAGTGTTTTTTTCATCGTTGATAGAAGATGGATGCAATTTGTAGTAAAATGTGCTGTACATTTTTTGTCTGTC